ACACATGAATACACACAGTGACACCACAGATACACACAGTGTACCATGTTCTCACACACAAGTAACACAAGTGTACACACACATGTCACACACAGTGTACAACACAGGTACAACACAGTGCACACACAGTTACACACACAGTGACGTCATCAGTGAAATTCCAGATCCCAAGGAAAAAGTACCTCTATATTTAAGCTCACATCCATCTACCACACACATCTCCATTCCCAAAACGGTGAGGGTAGTAGACAATAGACACTCATAGAACCCATAGACAATAGATAGACGCGGTAAAGGGCCCAGAGAAGTAGTTTAATTGAAACGGGAGTGCCTGGGGGGAGTGACTGGCTCCCACTCCCTTGAAAGCACCTTTCACCCCCCCTTCCCCGGCCCCCCTGCACCCCTTAGCTTCCCCTTCCCCTGGGACCCCCTAGCACCCCTAGGCCCACCTAGCGCCCCAAAACCCCACCAAACCCCCATAATCCCCCTGAATAGGGGGTTCCTGGAGAATGTGCCTTTCGACAGCACCTCTGTCCCCTTCTGATAGAATGTGGAGAAAAGTAGTGGAACACCTTTTGGCGGGGTTTTGGTGGTTGGAGGGGGTAAGCAGACTATGGTGGTTTCATTGCCTTTGGAAGATGGTAGTTTGTGATGGGTGGACAGGTTGTATGTAGTTTGGGATGGTCATGGGAAGGTAATTTTTGGGGGTTTTATGGTAGTTATGCAGTGGGTCTATGGTAAGGGGAATGGTGTGGTTGTATGGAGTTAGGCAGTGGCCTTGTAAAGGGGGGATATGGTTGTTTATGTAGTTTTTTGGGAGGCCTTGATGGGGGGAAAAAGGGTAGTTGATGGTAGTTTTGGAGGGCTCATGATGAGGGTAAAGGGGGGGGTATGGGATTTTAGAAATGATTGTGTGGTAGTTAGGTAATGGTTTATGGGATTTATGATGTAAAGATGGGGGTTAGGTAGTTAATGTGCTCTGGTTTTTGAAAAGTAGTTTATGGATTGAAACAGTTATGGTATGGTTGTATTGTTTTGGTAGTCGTTTATGGGTTTTATGTGGTATGGAGTTTAGTTGGTATGGGTGTTTTGCAGTTTGGTGTGGTTTAAAATAGTTACGGGAGTGAAGTAGGTATTAATGACGGGATGGTAGTCTTGTCGGTATTGGTAAGGGCCGTAAAAGGGAGTGTTTTATGGTGTTATGATAGTGGTTCTATGGTATTATAGTAGCGTATGGGGTTATGGTAGGGTTGTATGGCAGTTTTGGAGATTGTATGGTAGTTAATGATGGTATGGAATCTTGGGTAGTTATGGTAGAGGCAAGGTTTGTTTTGTTGTGTCGTATGGAGTTAACATGGTATGGTTTCTTGGTAGGAAAATTTGGGAGTAGCTGTAGAAAGTTATGGAGTGGTTGTATGGGAGGTATGGTAATGGTTGCATGGTAGATAATGAGGCATTGAAATTTGTTTTTAGGTGGTTTTGGAGTTATGATAGTTGGGTTTTATGGAAAATTTATGAAAGGATTTAAAACTTGTAAGGTAGTAATGGTAGTTACTGAGCCCCGGTAGCTTGTATGGCAGTAAGGTATTATGAAAACAGGTGGTTTTGTATGTATTGGTATTATGATACATGGGGTTCCTTTGTATGGGAGTAAAGGGAGTTTATGATGCCATGGGAGCTTGTAGGTATAATGGTTTTGTTTACTGGACAGGTGTCTTGTTGGTAGTAATGGTATTTTTATGACAGGGCTTTTATGGTGTAATGGGATTACGAGGACAGGGAGCTTGTATGGGGAAAAAGGGATTACTGAGCCTGGTATCTTTTTTTGGATAATGGGGTTCGATGCATGGTAGTTTTTGTATGGGGCAATGGGATACTGAGCCAGGGGGTCTTGTTGGTGTAATGGTAGTTTACGATGACATGGTAGTCTTGTATGGTAGTAATGGTGTTACTGATGGGCAGGTGGTCTTGTAGGGAGTAAGGTAGTTACTGATGACAGGTAGCTTTGGTAGTAAAGGTAGTTTCTAAAGGTAGTCTTGTATGGTACATTTGGGAGTTTTGAGACGGAGCTTGTATGGGGTTTTAAAGGGGGGTTACTGTGACAGGTATCTGTTGGGGTAAAGGGATTTTTGATGACATGGGAAACTGTAGGTAGTAACAGTAGTTGTTTGGTTTTTCTGGTATGGTTGTAGGGATTTTTTCTATCAGCACAAAATTACTTCGGCAACAAAATTATTCAGCCACAGAAATTTTCTAACACCCACAACATTATCTTACCCAAAACTTTTTCTATCAGTCACAGACATTACTATCATCCAGACTTTCTACACCACAACATTACTACACCCAAAACAATTTTCTATAGCCCCCAGAATTTTCTATCAGTCCCCACTTATCATCACCCAGAATTCCTATCCAAAAGACATTTTCTCAGTCACAGACATTATCTATCAGCCACAGACATTATCTATCAGCCACAGATATTATCTATCAGCCACAGACATTATCTATCAGCCACAGACATTATCTATCAGTCACAGACATTATCTATCAGCCACAGACATTATCTTATCCCGCCACAGAATTACCCATCAGTCACAGACATTATCTATCAGCCACAGGCATTATCTTCAGCACAACATTATTTTATCAGCCACAAAAATATCTAACAGCCCCAACATTATCTATCAGCCACAGAAATTATCTATCGGATATTAAAACAGCATTTCTTGGGAAATTTTTCTTCGACAGACATTTCCTAACCCACACCAAAGCACACACCACAACACTACAGCAACAGCAACTATCAGCCACAGACCCTATCATCACAGACACACACAGTCACACATCTATCACCACAGACACCTACAGTCACGACACACAGCCACAGCATACGCAGCCACAGACATATCTACACCACAGATATTAACTATCAGCACAGACACATCACCACAGACTATCACATCACAGCACTTCCACCAGACAAACCCATACCCCTTTCCCCCCCAAAAAAAAAAAAAAAAAAAAAACCCCCGGGAAAAAACAATCCAAACCCAAAACAACCCAAACACAAAAACCAAAACCCCCCACTTTTACCCAACCCCCAACCCCCCCCCCAAAAATTTCCCAAACCCCCCCCCATAAACCACCTTTTCCCCCCCATTTCCCCACCACCCCCCCCCCCCCACAACACACACACACAACCACACAACCCCACACCACACACACCCCACACACCACACACACACACCAACCGCACATACACACACACACTCGCACACACACACACACTCACACACCCCCGCATACACACACACTCACACACCCTATACGCACACACACACACACACACACACCCCACACGTAAAACACACACACACACGCACACACACAAACACACATACACCACACCACACACACACAAGCACATACACACACACACTCTCACCACCAAAACACACTCCCACACACACACACACAAAAACACACACACACACACACACACACACACACACACACACACAATCACACACACACACACCCACACACACACACCACTCAACACACACCACACACACACACACACACACACCACACACACACAACACACACACACCACACCACACACACACACAACACACACCACACACACACCCCCACACACACAAAACCCCACACACACCCCAACCCCACACACACACACACACACACACACACACACACACACACACACCACACACACAAAACACACACACCACACACAACACACACACACACCAACACACACACCCACACACACACACTCACACACACACACACACACACACACACAACAAAACACACACACACACACCCCACACACAAACCACACACACACAACACACACACACACACACAACCAAAACAACACACAAAACACCACACACACACACACACACACACACAAAACACACACACACACACACAAACACACCACACACAAACCACACACACACACACACACACACACACACCACACCACACCACACACACCACACACAACCCACACACACACACAAAACACACCACACACACACACACACACACACACACCACACACACCCACACCCCAACACACAAACACCACACACACACACACACACACACACCCCACACACACACACACACCACACACACACACACCACACCACACACACACACACCACACCTATGCTTTCATTCCAGCAGACAGTCACTGACATACATATCGACTTTCACTTACAGCCAGAGGTCTGTCAGTGGTGTACACTCACACCATGTACACTTACACCATGAACACTTAAAACCATGTACAAACCCAAACCCGCCCCTCAACCCGATCACCACCCAGGGTGAAAGTGATAGAGCAAGGTTATTGAACTCGCGTTTACTCTCAGTATATATACACTGAGAGGTGTATATCTCAGTGTATATACACTGAGAGGTGTATATCTCAGTGTATATACACTGAGAGATGTATATCTCGGTGTATATACACTGAGAGGTGTATATCTCAGTGTATATACACTGAGAGATGTATATCTCAGTGTATATACACTGAAGAGTGTATATCTCAGTGTATATACACTGAGAGGTGTATATCTCAGTGTATTAATGACCATGGTGTAGTAGATAGACTTTAAACCCCATAAATGTCCCCATTATGTAAAATAATGCAAACATAGACGATAGATAGTGACTTACCTGACCTGACTGACCTGACTTATCCAACCCCTCTCCCTGTGACCTGACTGACAGCCATGGGCCAGGATGGGTTTGCAGACCCATGTAGGTCCAAGACCAGGACCACAGCCCATGAAGACCACTGTGACCTGTACTACGAGTGCATTAATGACCTGCCAGTAGTACAGAGTTGCCCGAACGGACTATTCTACCAGGGCAAGAGGACCCGGGGACTATTTGGCGTCTGCGACTATCATTTCAACGTAGATTGCTACGACCGTCCTAGTAGTAGTAAGTAGATATATCTACCCCATGTCTGTCTACTCCGGACCTCTCTATCTATCGCAGGTTTGGCGCAGAATGCGAACCAGCCGGACCCTTGTGAGAGGAAGCATCGCGTCGCTGAAGATGTAACTTATTGCGACAGGTACTGGGAGTGCGTCGCAAGGAATCCACAGCTTTACGACTGCCCGAATGGGTTGGTTTTCGTGGGCAGGAACAGGGGCATAGCTGAGGGCTGTGACTACCCTTGGCGAGGGCCATATTGTGAGAAAAAACAACTAGCTAGTAAGTAGGGTCATTGTTATGGCCATGGGGTGCCCATGGGCCTTCTTATGTCATGGGTACTTGGGATTGTGGGTATTGGTGGCCCTGGGTGCTGGTGGCTCTGGGTACTGTGGCCCTGGGTACTGATGGCCCTGGGTATCGGTGGCCCTAGGTACTGTAGCCCTAGTTACTGTGGCCCTAGTTACTGGTGATTCTGGGAACTGATGGCCATGGGTACTGATGGCCCTGGGCACTGGTGGCCCTGAGTACTGGTGGCCCTGGGTACTCATGGTCTTGGGTACTGGTGGCCCTGGTACTGGTGGCCCTGGGTACTGGTGGCCCTAGGTCCTGTGGCATATATGTATATATATATATAAATATATATAATATTATATATATATATATATATATATATATATATATATATATATATATATATATATATATATATATATATATATATATATATATGCAAGGAATTCGCAAGAGCAGGCGAAATATATACAAACACTGATCACTGACTGAAGGAGAGTCGAACCTACGAACCTTGGAACAAGGTACGCAGTGCTTTACCAATCTACCCACAGTGGACCAATACCTTGGAGTCCAGCTTGTGCTAGACTTTGATCCAAGGCAGCCAGCTTTCAGGGAGAAGGCTTATAACTTTTCATCTCATCCCCTGCATGCATCAGCCTTACTAGAGATATTAACATTGCGAGGAATTAGCAAGAGCAGGTGAAATATACACAAACACTGATCTCTGGCTGAAGGAGACTCGAACATACGAACCTTGGAATGTTAATATCTCTAGTAAGGCTGATGCATGCAGGGGATGAGATGAAAAGCTGTAAGTCTTCTCCCTGAAAGCTGGCTGCCTTGGATCAAAGTCTAGCGCAAGCTGGACTCCAAGGTATTGATCCAGTGTGGGTAGATTGGTAAAGCACTGCGTACCTTGTTCCAAGGTTCCTAGGTTCGAGTCTCCTCGAGCCAGAGATCAGTGTTTGTATATATAATATATATATATATATATATATATATATATATATAATATATATATATATTATATATATATACTGAGAGGTGTATATTTCAGTGTATATACACTGATAGGTATATATCTCAGTTTTTATACACTGAAAGGTGTGTATCTCAGTGTATAAACACTGAGAGGTATATATCTCAGTGTTTATGCACTGAGAGGTGTATATCTCAGTGTATATACACTGAGAGGCGTATACCTCAGTACATTCCCTTTGCGAGGTATATATGCTCGCCTTAATGACCCAGATACAGTAACTGCACTAACCCCCAATAAATCCCCCATTAAATCTCCCCATTTTTTGCAGACCCACCCATTAAGACCGAGCACTGTGATTGGCTGTACGGTATATTCGGTCACGAGACCTCGTGTACCCGTTACTGGACCTGTTGGAACGGTACCGCCACAGAGCAGTTCTGTATTGGTGGTCTGCTGTACAACGAGGATACACACTCCTGTGACTGGCCACAGAACGTCAGAGGCTGTCAGAAACACCGTAAGTTGTGCTTATAGCTGTCTAGCTGTCTGTTTCTCTAGCTTCAGTGACAGGCAGTGTAGTACACTGTAGTACACTGTAGTACTGTGCCTGCTACTGTACTTAGAATCATTCCTGTACATTTGTGTTAAACTAGCGAATTGCAAATCTCAAATTTCGTTATACGCGTTAACGAACGTGTTCTTTATACCCACAGCACTGTGTAAGGACGACCCCAATGCCAACGTACCCCTGGGTAAATCCTGCGAGAGGTACTGGGCATGCCAGGGGGGATACCCACGTCTCCAGAGATGCCCAGCTACGTTAGTCTTCGATAAGCAGACGCGGAGATGCGTCAACCCTCCTACGGTAGACTGCGACGTACCGTCGACTACACCCCATCCTGACGTCGTTGAAGACGAGCGTGTACGTCAGGGACCTATTGTGTCACGGCCCCAGAGGCGTCGTCCAGCGGCCACCCCGATAAACGAGCCGGTTCAGGACGATGCTCCGTTCGTGTCGGATAATAATCTAAATCCGTCACAGCCTCGACCCCTGCCAGCACTGCCCCAGGGTGGTGGATTCCGTCAAGCACCTATCCCAGGGGCTATCCCTCTTAACTAGGCCCTATCCCAGGGGCTATCCCTCTAACTAGTCCCTATTCCAGGGGCTATCCCTCATCTAGAGCCCATTCTAGGGGATATCTCTCAAATAGACACCATTCCTAGGGGTCATGTAAGTTCCCCTATCCGTCCTCTTAGACGCCCTAGCCCTAATAGAGTAGACCCTATCCCAGGGGCTATATATCTTCACTAGACCCTAACTCAGGGGCTATCCTTTAACTAGACCCTATCCCAAGGCCATCCCAGGGGCTATCCCTCTTATTTAGACCAAATTCCAGGGATTATCCTCCTATAGACACTGTCCCAGGAGCTACCCAATGCCCTATCCCTCTCTAGAACCCATCCCAGGGCCAACCTAGGGCCATCCCAGGGCCACCCAGGGGCCATCCCCGGGGCCATCCCAGAGGCCACCTCAGGGACATCCCAAGGCCACCCCAGGGCCATCCCAAGGCCATCCCAGAGGCCACCTCAGGGACATCCCAAGGCCACCCCAGGGCCATCCCAAGGCCTGCCAGGGTCACCCCCCAGGGACATCCCAGGGCCATAATCTCTATATTAATATTCCTCACCCAAAGATTGCCTGTCCAATGGTCCTTAGAAATGGTCCACTGGACCATAGCCATGTCCCAGGGCAGTCAGGGTCCTCAGAAATGGTCCACTAGATCATAGACATGTCCCAGGGTAGTCATGATCCTCAGAAATGGTCCACTGGGCCATAGACATGTCCCAGGGCAGTCATGATCCTCATAAATGGTCCACTGAACCATAGACATGACACAGGGCAGTCATGGTCCTCATAAATGGTCCACTGAACCATGACATGACCCAGGGCAGTCATGACCCTCATAAATGGTCCACTGAACCATAGACATGACCCAGGGCAGTCATGGTCCTCGGAAATGGTCTACTAGACCATAGACGTGTCCCAGAGCAGTCATGGTCCACAGAAATAGTCCACTGGACCATAGACATGTCCCAGGGCAGTTATGGTCCTCAGAACTGGTCCAGTGAACCATAGACATGTTCCAGTGGATTTNTGATAGTATATAGTTCTCATAAAGTATTATTCACTTCTACTCACCTCCACTCACTTCTACTCACTTCTACTCACTTCTATTCACTTCTACTCACTTATATTCACTTCTACTCACTTCTCTTCACTTCTATTTACTTCTATTCACTTCTACTCACTTCTACTCACTTCTAATAACATCTACTCACTTTTACTCACTTCCATTTCACTTCTACTCACTTCTACTCCCCTTTATTACTTTTACTCACTTCTACTCACTTCAATTCACTTTTTTTTTTCTAACACTTCTACTCACTTATAATTAACTTTTACTCACTTCTACTCACTTCCACTCACTTCTACTCACTTCTACTCACTTTCTACTCACTTCTACTCACTTATATAATTTCCCTACTCACTTTATTCACTTCACACACTTCTACTACTTTAAACCAACTTCTACTCACTTCTACTCACTTCTACTCCTTCTACTCACTTCTACTCACTTCTTATTTTCACTTCTACTCACTTCTATTCACTTCCAGGCCCTTAGTTTTAGTTGTTATTTTTTTGTTTGTAAATAAATTATGTTAAATTTAAAAAGAATTTTTAATGTCCTGATCAAATGTCCTCAGCATGTTTTTAATTTGGGGAAAATATTCAAAGTAGGCCTAAGAACAACAGTAGGCCTAAGATAACTATGAGAGATAACTATGAGAGAGCCCTAGTAGACCTAAGATAACTATGAGAGAGCACCAGTAGGCCTAAATAACTATGTGAAAAGCACCAGTAGGCCTAAGATAACTATGTGAGAGCACCAGTAGGCCTAAAATAATTATGAGAGAGCACCAGTAGGCCTAAGATAACTATGTGAGAGCACCAGTAGGCCTAAGATAACTATGTGAGAGCACCAGTAGGCCTAAAATAACTATGAGAGAGCACCAGTAGGCCTAAGATAACTATGAGAGAGCACCAGTAGGCCTAAGATAACTATGATAGTCCCAGTAGGCCTAAGATAACTATGTAAGAGCACCAGTAGGCCTAAGAGAACTATATCAGAGCACCAGTAGGCCTAAGATAACTATGTGAGAACACCAGTAGGCCTAAGATAACTATGAGAGACCACCAGTAGACCTAAGATAACTATGAGAGTCCCAGTAGGCCTAAGATAACTATGTGAGAGCGCCAGTAGGCCTAAAATAACTATGAAAGAGCACCAGTAGGCCTAAGATAACTATGTGAGAGCACCAGTAGGCCTAAGATAACTATGAGAGTCCCAGTAGGCCTAAGATAACTATGTGAGAGCACCAGTAGGCCTAAAATAACTATGAGAGAGCACCAGTAGGCCTAAGATAACTATGTGAGAGCACCAGTAGGCCTAAGATAACTATGTGAGAGCACCAATAGGTATAAGATCCCCAGTAGGCCTAAGATAACTATAAGAGAGCACCAGTAGCTCTAAGAAAATTATGACAGAGCATCAGTAGGCCTAAGATAACGATGTGAAGTCTCAAGTAGGCCTAAGATAACTATGACAGAGCACCAGTAGGCCTAAGATAACTATGTGAGAGCCCTAGTAGACCTAAAATAACTATGAGAGAGCACCAGTAGGCCTAAGATATCTATGAGAGAGCAAAGTAGGCCTAAGATAACTATAAGACAGCACCAGTAAGCCTAAGAAAATTATGACAGAGCACCAGTAGGGCCAAAGGGATAACTATGGGGGAGAGCCCAGTAGGCCTAAGACACACACACACACACACACACACACACCCCGCACGCACACCACACACACACACAACACACATATATTATATATATATATATATATATATATTTTAAAATATATATATATATATATATATATATATATATATATATATATTTAAGCATGATAAAACGGTGTTGCAAGTGTTGCAAGGCTGAGGGAAAGTGTTGCAACACAGTATTGCACTCAGCCACGTGGTTGCGGTTGTCTATTTCACGTCGCCTGGGGTCGAGTCACGGTTACTGACCTGGTTTAAAGTACTTGTTGCTCCCTCTTTGTAATCATGCTTAAATTCTTCTTAAATCCGGTCTAAATCCGGCCTAAATCCTACTCAAATTCTTCCAATCTCATTCATATCTATATTCTCTCTAAATCCTCTTTTGAACATGCGTAAATCATCCCTAAATCCTTTCCACATCCTTCTTAAATCCTGCCTAAATCCTTCCCAAATCCTACCTTAATCTTGTTGAAATCCTGTCTAAATCCTCCTAAATCCTGCCTAAATCCTTCCCAAATCTTGCTCAAATCCTGCCTAAATCCTGCCTAAATCCTTCCCAATTCCTGCCTTAATCTTGTTGAGAGCCCGCCCAAATCCTGCCTAAATCCTGCCCAAATCCTTCCTAAATCCCGCCCAAATCATGCCCAAATCCTGCCTAAATCCTGCCCAAATCCTGCCTAAATCCTGCCCAAATCCTATCGACATCCTGCCTAAATCCTTCAAGCTCTTAAGACTGACCTATGAAGTCATATGTGTGGGTCATATTTCTGTGGTAGTTGGGAACGGTGACTCGACCTCTGCTATGGATTGTAGGTGAGTACAATCACAAGATGGTCTTGTGGACCTTTGGGTTTAGCCCCTGGCTTGTCTGCTGTCTGGTTTGTAGGTCAGTAAACTGAGAGAAAGTTGAGAGTAGTGAAAGGAGTGTGTGTTGTGTGTGTGTGTGTGGTGTGTGTGTGTGTGTGTGTACTCACCTAGTTGTACTCACCTGGTTGAGGTTGCGGGGGTCGAGTCCGAGCTCCTGGCCCCGCCTCTTCACTGATCGCTACTAGGTCATTCTCCCTGAACCATGAGCTTTATCGTACCTCTGCTTAAAGCTATGAATGGATCCTGCCTCCACTACATCGCTTCCCAAACTATTCCACTTCCTGACTACTCTGTGGCTGAAGAAATACTTCCTAACATCCCTGTGATTCATCTGTGTCTTCAGCTTCCAACTGTTGTCCCCTTGTTACTGTGTCAAATCTCTGGAACATCCTGTCTTTGTCCACCTTGTCAATTCCTCTCAGTATTTTGTATGTCGTTATCATGTCCCCCCTAATTCCCCCCTGTCCTCCAGTGTCGTCACGTTGATTTCCCTTAACCTCTCCTCGTAGGACATACCTCTTAGCTCTGGGACTAGTCTTGTTGCAAACCTTTGCACTTTCTCTAGTTTCTTCACGTGCTTGGCTAGGTGTGGGTTCCAAACTGGTGCCGCATACTCCAATATGGGCCTAACATACACGGTGTACAGGGTCCTGAATGATTCCTTATTAAGATGTCGGAATGCTGTTCTGAGGTTTGCTAGGCGCCCATATGCTGCAGCAGTTATTTGGTTGATGTGCGCTTCAGGAGATGTGCCTGGTGTTATACTCACCCCAAGATCTTTTTCCTTGAGTGAGGTTTGTAGTCTCTGACCCCCTAGACTGTACTCCGTCTGCGGCCTTCTTTGCCCTTCCCCAATCTTCATGACTTTGCACTTGGTGGGATTGAACTCCAGGAGCCAATTGCTGGACCAGGTCTGCAGCCTGTCCAGATCCCTTTGTAGTTCTGCCTGGTCTTCGATCGAGTGTATTCTTCTCATCAACTTCACGTCATCTGCAAACAGGGACACCTCAGAGTCTATTCCTTCCGTCATGTCGTTCACAAATACCAGAAACAGCACTGGTCCTAGGACTGACCCCTGTGGGACCCCGCTGGTCACAGTTGCCCACTCTGACACCTCGCCACGTACCATGACTCGCTGCTGTCTTCCTGACAAGTATTCCCTGATCCATTGTAGTGCCTTCCCTGTTATCCCTGCTTGGTCCTCCAGTTTTTGCACCAATCTCTTGTGTGGAACTGTGCCAAACGCCTTCTTGCAGTTCAAGAATATGCAATCCACCCACCCCTCTCTCTCTTGTCTTACTGCTGTCACCATGTCATAGAACTCCAGTAGGTTTGTGACACAGGATTTCCCGTCCCTGAAACCATGTTGGCTGCTGTTGATGAGATCATTCCTTTCTAGGTGTTTCCACCACTCTTCTCCTGATAATCTTCTCCATGATTTTGCATACTATACATGTCAGTGACACTGGTCTGTAGTTTAATGCTTCATGTCTGTCTCCTTTTTTAAAGATTGGGACTACATTTGCTGTCTTCCATGCCTCAGGCAATCTCCCTGTTTCGATAGATGTATTGAATATTGTTGTTAGGGGTACACATAGCGCCTCTGCTCCCTCTCTCAGGACCCATGGGGAGATGTTATCTGGCCCCATTGCCTTTGAGGTATCTAGCTCACTCAGAAGCCTCTTCACTTCTTCCTCGGTTGTGTGCACTGTGTCCAGCAAATGGTGGTGTGCCCCACCTCTCCGTCTTTCTGGAGTCCCTTCTGTTTCCTCTGTGAACACTTCTTTGAATCTCTTGTTGAGTTCCTCACATACTTCACGGTCATTTCTTGTTGTCTCTCCTCCTTCCTTCCTTAGCCTGATTACCTGGTCCTTGACTGTTGTTTTCCTCCTGATGTGGCTGTACAACAGTTTCGGGTCAGATTTGGCTTTCGTGTGTGTGTGTGTGTGTGTGTGTGTGTGTGTGTGTGTGTGTGTGTGTGTGTGTGTGTGTGTGTGTGTGTGTGTGTGTGTGTGTGTGCACTCACCTAGTTGTAGTTGCAGGGTTCGATTCACAGCTCCTGGCCTCGCCTCTTCACTGGGTCACTCTCCCTGCTCCATGAGCTTTATCATACCTCTGCTTAAAGCTATGTATGGTTCCTGCCTCCACTACATCACTTCCCAAACTATTCCACTTTCTAACAACTCTGTGACTGAAGAAATACTTCCTAACATCGCTGTGATTCATCTGAGTCTTCAACTTCCAACTGTGACCCCTTGTTACTGTGTCACATCTCTGGAACATCCTGTCTTTGTCCACCTTGTTAGTTCCTCTCAGTCCACTAACACCCAGGTACCTATTTTACCGTTAGGTGAACGTGGACAACAGGTATAAGGCAACTAACACCCAGGTACCTACCTACTGCTAGGTGAACAGTGACTGTAGGTGTAAGGCAACTAACATCCAGGTACCTACTTACTGTAAGGTGAACATGGGTAGCAGGTGTAAGGTGACTAACACCCAGGTACCTACTTACTACTAGGTGAACAGTGACAGCAGGTGTCTTAGGGAAAAACGTTCCATCTGTACAGGGTATCAAACCATGGACCT